GGAACCCACTTCCCTTCCTCCTCCCTCCACGCTCACTCCGACCCCCCCGCAGATTGGCATCCAGGGCACCTGGACCGAGCTCTACACACACCAAGGAAGCTAGTCTTAGAACCAAGTGCCCAGCCGTCCAGTCTGGATACAGGGGCTCGGCCTCTCCCGCTCGGGGGCTTCTCCCCTGCACATCTCTCCCCCCACCAGCCCCAGCTGCTCCTCGCTGCTCTCACCCCTCCAAGTCCTGACTTCCCTTTTCATCGGAGGCCGGAGCAGGCTGTGGTGGGGTCAGCTGGGGTCCTGCACCTGGCCAAGAGCAGAGGGAAGAGGGGGATCATCAGGAGTCCCGGGAATTGTGAAAGAGGGGGGCAGGGGAGCTCAGGGTGCACTCAAAAAGGTAAAAACAGGCCTCTTCAACCCACATCCTTCTGTGTTCAGTGATGGTTGTTGTCCCAGGGCTGGGGCTTCTGACTGCCCAGGAGTCCAGATGTTTTCCAGGTTGGTTGAGCACTTGTGTTCCCTAATGTGGTGGATGTTTTTCATTGATTCTAGAGAGAGAGGAAGGCGGGGGAGAAACATTGATGTGAGAAACATCAATTGGATCCCTCTCGAATGCGCCCCGACCAGGGATTGAACCCACAACCTGGGTCTGTGCCCTGACCCGGAATTGTGGATGGCATTGGCTGATTGCTGTGCCTACCTGCATGCAGGCACTTCTCAGAAGTGGTTCATGTGCGTTATCTCATTTCAGCCCCAGGGCAACCTCATGGGCTGCCCACCATTTTTGCCTCCGCGTTACTGATGGGGAAACTGATTCTCAGAGGTGCTCAGAGGCCCCGCCGGGGTTTGAACCCACGAAGCCTTTGCTTAGTCACTGCATTGTGTTGATAGCGGCAGCCGAGCCCCGGGGCCTTCATTACTGACTTGTACGAACCTCTAGGGCCATGATTCCCTTCATCTACCTGCCAGCAAACCCCTTTCCACAGGGGGCTTCGCAGAGGTGACCTTGAGCAAGGTTAGGGAGAAGAGGCCGGGAGGTGGGAGGCTGGCAGAGGGGCAAGGGTTTGGGGGCCTGTTCTGCCCCCACCTCCTAGACTCTTTAGCAGCAGGCCCTCTGCCAGGTGGGCTTACCAGAGAAGCCCAGCAGAGCCCACCTGTTCCAGGAGCCGGAGTAAGGAGCCAGCATGGCCAAGAGAGCGCCAGAATTTCCAGCAAAGTTCAGGGATGCCCCCTGGTGGAGCTGCACTCCCAGTGCAGAAATAAAGCTTCTCCCGGCCTTCCCCGGATCCCCGGGGGCCTGGAGCCAGCCGCTGGAGAAGGCCCGGTGGTCTTTCAACCCTAGCACACCATCAGGATTCCGCGTGGCCTAGAGGCAGGGGTGGGGGATGAGTACCTGGGCTCTGGCGTCAGCTAGAATGGGCTTCAAATTTCACCTCCGCTGCTCACCAGATGGGCATTTTGGGGCAAGTTAGTTGTCCGAGCTTCAGTTTCTCATCCGTGAAATGGGTATAATTGAAGGTCCACCTCACAGAACTCTTACCGCCGTTCACTTAAGATAACCTGTGTAGAGAGCTCACCTGTGCCGACGTGCTAAGTAAACGTTAACTACTGTATTCTAATTGGTAGACAGAGTATGTTCTGGGGGACTTTTGCCAGTGACATCTGTCTCTAGATGTTGGTTCCCTCATTAGTAAGACAGGAACAGTCCTACTTAGCTTCTGGATTGGCTGTGGAAATTAGATACCGAATGCAAAAGATAGTAACACCCAAGTTCTCTTATGCACTTAAGGCATTGCTTTTACTATGCAGTTCCAACCAAGTGAAAGTTGTGTTTACTCCACAAATATTGACGGTGCGCCAGACTTTGTGCGCAGAGCTGTGCTTGCAGCAGGGCACGGTGGGAGTGCTGCCCACGTCCTCGCCTAAGCTCCGTGAGGGTTTTGTCGCATTCAAGGGCCTGCAGGCTTCCTCTGTAAAGAGTCGGAGTAAATATTTCAGGCATTGCCGGCCATTCAGTCTCCATCAGTTACCCTGCTCGGCCGTTGCAGCTTGGAAGCAGCCGGAGATGTGTGAATCTATGAGTGGGCCTGTGTGCCCATAAAACTTCGTCTGTGGGCCTGGAAGTTTGAATTTCATGGTCTTAATTCTTGGGGCAGCTTTGAACAGGGGCTCGCCTGCTTCTGGTCTTTTCCTTCTTTCTAGTGGACACATTTCTAAGTGTCCATAGACTATGTATTTGTCACTGAGCTAACGGTGGGCTTCTCATTCCAGTCCTAACAGACAGGGTGAGCGAGCTCTTATCCTAAAGCCACATGGATTTGGCAGTCTGCTCTGGGCCTTTTTCCCCCTTGGAAGCATGTCTACTTAGCTTCAGTTGTTGCTTCCGCCTGGGCTCAGGTTCCAGAGCTATTGTGATTCCCATTTTACAGATGGGGAAGCAGAGTCCCCGGAAGGGTCATGGTTTCCTTGAGGGTCTGTGGTCAGGGGTGGCCCCTGTCTCCTAGTTCAGAGCTTGTCCCCTTCCCTCATGGAGCTCGCTGCTGAGATGCAGGCTGGACTTTCCTGAGGAGGGACGCACACCCTTTGTGGTCCCGTCATGCATATGAGAAGTCGTGTAATCACCGTCTGGTTGAATCCTCACAGCTGGCCTATGAGAAGCGATGGCAAGATGAACACATGGCTGTTCAGAGAAGTCAAGTAACTTTCATGGCCTCACAGACTAGGAGGGGGGCCACTAAACAGCCAGTCATCTATAGAGATAAATCCTATCCTAGGGCTGCAAAAAGACACAAAGGCCTTGAGTGCTGTGCAAAGGATTCTTTGGTTGGCAGTGGGGAGCCATCGATGGTTTTCAGGAAAGTGAGGCGTGTCCATGGTCAGGTCTGTCTTAGAAAGCTCCTGCTGGCCGCAGCATGGAGGGTGGGGAAGAGGTGTAGTTGGAAAGCCCCTTGGAGGAAAAGAGCAGTAACGGGACTGGGCTAGAGCGGAGGCCGTGGTGATGCAGGAATCAGATGGGTTGGAGAGATTCGCTAAGGAGAATTGACAGGACGCGGTAACAGAGTGGGCATGGCGCAGTAGCGAGGCGTGTGGGGGAACCCTGGAGGAGGGGGAGGTTTGGTTTTATGGGGCCTCCCAGGTAGGATCCGAATCCCCGGGCCTCAGGAGCTCCCGGCGTGTGGATTCCGCCCCCAGGTAGCCGGCGGCTGGTGGATGTGATGGACGTGAACACTCAGAAGGGCGCGGAGATGAGCATGTCCCAGTTCGTGCGCTACTACGAGACGCCCGAGGCGCAGCGGGACAAGCTGTACAACGTCATCAGCCTGGAATTCAGCCACACCAAGCTGGAGCACTTGGTCAAGCGTCCCACTGTGGTAGGCCCCTGGCCCGGGTTCCCTCCTGGCCTCGCCCTGCGCCCCCTGCAGGCCTGGGGGAGGCGGGGCGGGAGCCCCCCCAGAGCCACAGAAGCCAGCAGGTGCTGACGGGGCCTGGCTTTCAGGTAGACCTGGTGGACTGGGTGGACAACATGTGGCCGCAGCACTTGAAGGAGAAGCAGATGGAAGCCACAAACGCCATTGCGGAGATGAAGTACCCGAAAGTGAAGAAGTAAGGCGGGCGCGGGCGCGGGCGCGGGCGCGGGAGGGGCAGGAGGGGCCCTTGTTCTGGGCAGGTCGGCGTCTTGCTTCCCTGGAAGTAAGGGCTCCGTGTTCTGCTCTGGGCTGCAGTCTCCTTCCAGGTGGCCCCTTGGCCTTGCTGCCAGCTGTCCTCAGGGTGTGACCTGAGGAGCGGGAAGGGGAAATGGGAGCTGTCCCTGTGTGCATGCGTATGTGCACCTGTGTGCACTCACATGTATGTGTTTGCACATTTGTCAAACCTTTGTCAACTCAGAGCGGGCATTTTCAGGGAGACCGCCCCCTCTGGGGACACTACTTTTGCAGAGGGTTGGGAGGATCCTAGTGTCCTTTTGGTTCTCGTTGAGACCCAGGGGCCCTGATCCAGAAGAACCTTTCCCAAAGCAAGCCCAGGGGCCACTTCCTCATGAGATGTCCCGCAGACATTCCTCAAAGTGGGAGGTTGGCACTGACCTGGGGAGATGGCCACATCCAATCCCAGGGATATAACTGCATGCACTGTGACCAACAAGTCATGAGACAGATTGCTTTTCACGGGCAGAGGCCCCCGTGAGCCCCTTGGTTTGAGAATTTGAGTAACGGGCCCTTGGGAGGTGGAAGTCACCCTGGGCCTTCCAAAATGGGAAGGAGAGGCTGGCTGGCCCAGGCAGGACCATTGCTCTGGGCTTCCTAGAAAGGTTGGCTTTGGCCAACTTTTAGCATCCATTAGCATCTTTTTAGCATCTCATTAGCAACCTTTAGCATCTCTCCGCTCTGTTCGGTTCCAATGCCAGGAGTGCCCCCAGGAGCTCAGAGGCTGTGGACTTTTCACTCATTCCGCCCTCCGTTCAGGGTGCACACTGCAGGTGGACTCTGTGCCAGGCTTTGTAAGGGAGGCCAGCAGGCTAGCCCCGGGCTTCTCAAGGTTTTGCTTTCAAGCTCTCTCTCGCTCTCTCTTTTTTAAAATATGTCTTTATTGACTTCAGAGAAAGGAAGGGAGAGGAGAGAGAGATAGAAACATCAATGACAAGAGAGTCATGCATCGGCTGCCTCCTGCACGCCCCCGACTGGGGATCAAGCCTGCAACCTGGGCCTGTGTCCTGACGGGGAATTGAACCACAATCTCCTGGATCCTAGGTCGACGCTCAACCGCTGAGCCACGCCGGGTGGGGCTCCCTCTCTTTCTTTAATTATCTCTCAGGCACTTTTTTCTCCCCTCAAAGCTGAAGCCCGGTGCACTCCTTGGATCTGGGCTCCATCAAAGGCACGTGGGCTCAATGTGCCCCGGGACAGGAAAGTAGAAAGACAGCAGGACTGAAACCTCTGCCCCTGGGGAACATGCTGCTCCTCCCCGCAGAGGGAAACCGCTGGGGAACATGCGGCTCCTCCCCGCAGAGGGAAACGTTCCCAGGAGGAATCCTTTTTGGCTGGTGGCCCTCGGAGGTCCTCTCAGAGGGGACATTCCACCTGGGCTTTAAGGGACAGAGGAGGTGGGGAGGTGCCAAAGGCCCTGAAGGAATCATGAGGGTGGAACCCGAGGAAACAGTGCAGGACTGAGGGATTAGTTACAGGCAGATCCCTGCTCTCATCGATCGATTGATTGATCGATCGATCATTCATTCATTCAGCCTGTGTACCCAACATCTAATTGGTGCTGGGCACTGGGAATACAGCGGGGAGAAAACGGGTGAGCTCCCTGCCCACTCGGAGCTTGCAGTGTATCTGGAGACGGACATTAATCCAATAACCAGAGAAACAGACGGAAACTTGCAGCGCCATGAGGCCACAAGGCAGAGGCCACTGTGCTACAGGAGCACGAACCAGGGGCTCACCTGGTTGGGGAGGTCAGGGAGGCCAGGGCAGGCAGGCAGGCACCCCGAGCTGGGGTCTTAAGGGAGGGGGTTACTTAGGTGAAGAGGCCTGGGAGGAGCTCCCCTGGCTGTGCAGAGAGCCGGGTGGCAGGGGCAGAGGAGGACCTGTGGGAGGACGGCCGTGGGGCTGGAGATCGGGGGC